TATCACCTCTGAAGATGGACTCCCGCAAGAGTTTAAAAGCTTAGGACAATGAATCTATTGATCCAGTGCTCCACAAGCCTTCTTCCCTATCCATATCTACCAAGTCTATGTCCGAATGTCTCCACAGACACAGAAATTGCCATCACGTCGGTTAGGTTATTCGATTGATTCAAGTCACTGTCGGATAAAAAATATTTCCTGATATCTTGTCTTCTATAGAGTACGCCTAGTTTGAATGGATGCAACCTAAGGATAGCTGCAGTGGCCAATTGGAATGCGAAATCACACACGAGGGCTCAGCCCAAGCCATGCAGAATCCTGTGTTCATGTGTCAACTCTTCCCTTCTTGGAAGCAGGTTCTGTCTCCTAATTCGCCTTAATAATAGCACAAATCTCCCCAAATTTTCGGTTATTACCCCTGTCAGTCGTCCATACAACCTAAGAGACTCGGCAACTGTTAAATCCCCATACTGCATCTTCCTCATCAAAACGCTCTTTGTTTTTTGCTTCCCGATATAGCTTTTTTTGGAATAAGTTGCCAATTGAAATTAGGTCGTTAACTAGACTGTCTGCTTTCAAGCGAAGACTGAACATTTATCTTTACACTGATTCTATTAACCCTTTATTCTCCTCATATTTTCCGAGCAGCATTCTCCATGACTCCGAGAAAGGACCATGGGGAATTTAGGAGATCCTCTTGAAGCTATTTTGTTTGCCTCCTGCCCCCGGGAACCTAGATGTTTCCATTAACCACGGCTCAATCAAACGAAGCCACGTGGACGTACTCAGACTAAGCTGCTGCTGTTTCATTGGCTACTAGCCATCATCAGACTTCCTACACCCATTTCTGCTCTTCTACTCTGTCTTATCTTCCTAAGCAGTTTTCTTCTCTTCCACGCTTTTTGAAAATGGAGGCCCATTGAACTCTTCCTCGATTTTCGCTGTAAGATTTTTTTAATTGCCTTTAAGTTTTTAAGTTCACAATTAACTGCAAAGCATCACTAAATATTGCCCCAAAAGGACAATTTCTGCTGACATTATAGCAACTTTCTACATTTATCTGCGCACATTGTAAAATTCGTTTTTGAATTACTTTTTTAAGAAAATAATTTTGTATGGACAACGCCGTTCTGGCGCTAACAACTATTAATTCCAAACTCCAATCATTAAACGAGCTACAGATGTTTTTCCCTAAAAAATCCCAGAAAGGAAGGTCAGGAATTTTTTGCACAGCCAGCTCGATCCCTTACTGTACCTTTCTTTTGGCTTTGCCTGTAAACTGGCAATACATAAATAAATAAATAAATAAATATGGAAATCTTGTATAAAGTCACCGCGCAACTGCTTATAACTCAGAGAGTATATATTTTTGTTATTTAAGTCCAAAGCATATGGTAGTGCATACTGACTTCTTAAAACTTTTGCGGCTCGTCTCTGTTGTGATTCTGCTGCGGCTAACGTCTTCAGGCCTGGATCGCATACGCAACATTTGGCCTTGCAAACGTATCAGTACTTTAGGAAAACGGACTTAAGCTAAAACTAGCACACTTCTCTCATTGTATTACCTGTATTAATTTGCCTGGTGGCAAACGGTGCAGAGGTTTGTGATTTAGACGCTTTACAACATCCCGTGGAAGAAATCCGGTTGCCTGTTCTCCAAACGCAGAACTCGTTCTGGGTTCCTGCTTCTTAGAGTGGTTTTTCATTAAGAGAGTGAGGCCACATATCAAGGACTTAGTTTCGATATCAAAGACGCAGCAGAGTACGTTTGTTCGAGTTGAAGGACAGGAGCCACCTACGGGACCACTTGTCTAACCCAAAATGATCGTCTCAGAAGTCGGCATCGTTCGCAGCCTTGAGTATGTCCTTCCAGATTTTCATATCGTCCGCAATCACAGTCCAATTCTTGTACACAGTCATTAATGAACAAGAGAAAGGGATTCGTTCCAAGCACCGAACGTATTGTTTTCGCCTTGGCCGCTGTTGCCCTACACAGACAACCTAGTAACAACAAACGAGGAAATTGTCAATGTATGTAGGAAGGTGGCCTCGGATACCCAGCACTCTCAAATTTTAACGGAAACGCTGGTGCTGAACAATATCAAAAACCGTCCGAATACCAATGTAGGCCGCATGCGCAGTCACTATTTCAAAAGTGCTCTGCATCGTATTAATTTAATTCTTAACACAGTATGTTCCCCTACGAAAACCGTATCTTGCACTGGAAAATAGGCTGTGGGTTTCCAAATAAATAAATAAAGTTTTATGTTTAACATGCTTAGAGGACCGTATCAAAACATCATCAATTTATTTTCTATGATCACCTCCATAGCTGTGCTGCAGGTGGGGGTAATAAAGATGGGTTGCCAGTCGGTTGCAAGTATACGACTAACGCTCTTGTGAGACAGTTTTATGTAGATTATTTTCCAGTCCATGTGAAGACTTCCCATATCGAATGTTTACTGGCACAGAAAAAAAACTTTTCGATCAGTTTTCGAGTCAGTTCAAAGAACAGTTTTGTTAGAATTTCAACCGGACCGGTAGATTAACATTATTTCAAGCCTTTGGTTTCTTCTCGAAAGGGCATTATTGGCGCTCGTATGATCTCGTCACTGCGTGGGATAAAAACAGCTTCTCCGATACGCAGCTTCGTATTTACTATCTCACATCTCCCGAATATCATCGTTCTTCATATGGGGAATTGGGTTCCTGATATGTTTATACTTTCATAAGCAGTTGTAAAATAATTTGGGATTATGGACTGCCTGGTTGTGCAAATCTCCCTCGAAACCTCGTCATGTTTCGAAAATCAATCCTTTCAAGTTGCTCCTTTGAACTTTGTAAGCTTGAGAGGTCGCACTTTTTGGTCTCGTAAAACTTCACCTACAGCCTTTCTTTCCTGTTATCCGTGTTCTTAGATTTTTTACGTTTGCTCCTTAAGTCAGTTAGTTATCCTGAGTTTTTATAAACGGACAGTATTATTTCAGGAGATGGTACAACATTTCCTTAAATAATTTCCAGTTGTCGGTGACGTTAACAGAGGAAAGAATGTCTTGGTCTTTTCGTCCTGCCTAAGCTCTCATTTGAAAATAAAAGTCTCCTTGTCATATATTGAGCCTAGTTTCGTTACAGCGGAGGGTACATAATATAAGTCGCACTTCCTGAAAGTACTGCGTGATCACTTTGAACATACTGAGGTAAGGAGCAAACTTTAGGACCTTTAGTGAATAGAAGATCTAAACTACGGATCTGTTGCACTCCGCGCGCTCTAATTGGGATAAGGACACATTGTGGAGAATAGCTTCAAGTTTCGTCCTTCGCAATTGGTGATTGAAGGCATAGATGGAGTATGTCGCTTGTTAATTGATCAGTCGAATGCTGGGTGCACTGAAGTCAGCCATGAGAGCAACATCAGGTCGACGTTTTACAGGGACTGCGTCCAGCGTGCCCTTATAATTAGCCAAATAGGCCATGTATAATCGGTAAATTTCTAAGTCTTACCACACACATTTCAGTTGCTCTCTACATGCATTGCAACTCTTCCACCGTTTAGTTTATTTGATTTGTCGTAAATAATTAGCGGTCGGATAGTGCTGCTTCGCAATTACTGATGCTCCGTGACAGCCTTCTTCCCGTTATTGCTATAAAATCAGAAGACAGACCGGCCGCCTGTATTTCCATTTCGTCGACCCACGAAAATAGATTCACGGCGTTGGTATACATATATTTTGGTTGGCAGCATTTGAAAGTGCCTAGTTAAATTTTTTGCCACTGTTACCATGCGCATTGGTTGTTCGCAGAGCAATACTCCCGTGGCAAATGTGGTCTAAAGTTCCGACAGTATCTCGCGGCATCTGGCGGCGTTTCAACTGCTATGCTGGAGAAAATTCTGGCTAAGAAAA